CACACCTGAGACATGTTTGCAATCAGTACATTCTTTTAGCATCTTTTTAGTTTCTAGGATTACTGACATTTAAAGGGGGCTGAAAGGAGAAGGGGAGAGTATTTGTAAAAGAAACATCATATTCTTGTGACAACCTTTGGTTCTTTCCTCTTGATCCTTTTGCCTGAACTGAGCAGTGAGACTACACCTCGGACTGCCAAGAGTTGGTGATAGGTATACAAGGGCTCTGTGTTAGGCTCGGATGGTAAATGTCAGTAGTGAGTTTCTACATCAGGGCAGGTTCCTTTAATATGAAGTTCTAACCTTTTATTTGCCTCATGAAGTAAATCCTGAAACTAGGTTTATATTATAAAATACATGAATACAAAACAATACAATTAATTATTAAATTACCATTTTATGGGAAATATTGGGGCAAGGACACAATATGGTGTGGCTAGCAGGATTGGTGAGGGTACTATGGCGGTACCCCTGATATGGCTTTCTGGGGCCTTGGACAAGGACTCTTTTCAGTTGTGAGGTGGAGGATCAGTCCTGTAACTCTAGCCTGATTTCTCCCAAACTTGGGAAAATTAAAATGTTGTGAAAGGTGGCAGATGGAGGGAGGTATAAGGAATTCATGAGCCAATGGAAGAATTATTAAAGGGGTAAGCTGGGCACAGTGGCGTGTGCCTGTAGTCCTAGATACTCAGGAGGCTGAGGCATGAGGGTCACTTGAGCTCAGGAGTTTGAATCCAGCCTGGGCAACATATTCAGACCCTCTCTCTTAAAAAAAAAAAAAATTAAAGGGAGCTTTAAGTACATTTTTAGTACTTAAGTATACTTAGAATTTCAGAGTGGTCTTGCTTGACACACTTCAAGGACTTTCCTGGCCACAGGACATGCTTTTTCCTATGACATAGGGACCTTTCAGCAATACATATTTGTTTGATTAATAAGTAAATAAATTCTGAGAGCAAGAAATTATATGAAAAGAGTGATTTGGGAAGGAAAGAAAGGTTTTACCTTTGATTATATTGCTACTCAGCTTTCCTTGTCTAACTCCCAACCTAGTTTCTTAGATGTTAGTTTTTATCTTTCTCCTTGTTCTCTTCTAATGATATTAACATCACTATTATGTGTGGAGGGATTGCTGCCAGGAATAGTGCTGAGTGCTTCATGTACATTATCTCATTGTCTTCATGACAATGCATTGAGGGGGAGGTGCCTTTATTATTTCCTTTTTCATACCAGTAAGACCAAAGCCTGCCCTGAACCACCAAGTTCTACTATCTCCATGTTGATGAGTCATTAAATGGGGCAGAGATGAAGGTATGGGGGTGCTCAGTGAGGGTGGTGGACACTATATGCTGTCAGCATGATTAACTAACAGTTCTCAGCTACCTTGGTATGGGGAGTGGAGTGGAAGATGGGTGAGTGGAGTGGAAGATGGGTACGTGGAGGAGGTGGGGTAAGGTGGGGTTCTAAACTTTCCTATCAAGACGTAAAAACAGTTTTAGTCTATACAGAGATGCTCCAAAAATATTGCAGGCTTGAACGGGAAGAATCAATTTGGGCACTTTCAATGTGGAGATTAATAGATTGGCTTTAGTGTATGTAAAATGTTTTATAAGTGTACATTTTACTAGGGAGAAAGGGTCAAGGCATTCAATAGTTTTTCTGGTAGATCCATGCCATTCAACCCTCCTGCTTGAATGAATACTTCTTAAAATCTGTATTTGACATAAAGACAGAAAGTAGAATGTTGGTTACCAGGAGCTGGGGGGAGGGAGGAATGGGAGAATGAGGAGTTATTTTTTAATGGGTATAGAGTTTCAGATTTGCAAGATGAAAAGAATTCTGGATGGTGGTGATAGTTGCAAAACAATATAAATGTACTTAATACTATTGAACTATATGCTTAAAAATGGTTAAGATGGCAAATTTTATGTTATGCATATTTTATCACAACAAAAAATTGAAAAAAGAATATGCATTTGAAATAGTATCTACATTTGTGCCTGGCACTTAATAGGTGCTCTATAAGTGACTGGTTGTTTACCTGTTCAGTCCTCTTTTGTTATATGTAAAACGAGGATAATATTAATACATTATTGGCTTATACTTCACGGGGTTGCTTGAGGGATCCAGTGAGCTATAGGACATGCAAGGACTTTGATTCATTCAACAGTCCTTTATCTAGAACCTACTAATTGTCAGGCCTTGTTCTACATTCAGGAGACACTGTAGTAAGCAAAACAGATGTGATTTCTGTGCTGCGGACCTTAGAGTTCAGGTCACCATTCTTTATGAACTGTAAAGTGTTGTACTCAGAAAGATATGGGGGTAGACATGTCTCTACACCTCTGTTTAAGTGCATTTCCATGATATGACTACCGTTCACTGCCTCACCCCCAAATCCCTGCTCAAAAGGAGAAGTAAATCCTCATCCAAATGGCCATGCCTGCATTGTCACAAAAGTACACAAGTGAGGTAGTCTGTAGACCTGGACTCCCATCCCATTTCTACCTCTAACTAGTAATGTGAGTTTGGGCAAGTCATTTCCCCTTTATTGTCCTCAGTTTCCTCATCATTAAAATTATAGAATTGGGCTACCCAGTGTTCCCTGCTATCTGTTGTGCACCCACACAGTAAACTCAGTAATGCCCTACTCCTTGCTGTTATCTCTGTATCCCCAGGGCCTGGCACAGTGCCTGGCACACCAGGGCTCCTACCTCTGTTCATCTAACAAACCCCAGATCTAGCCCTAGAGGAAATAAACCCTTTTTTTAATGTGCATATGATCTGACATCCAGGAAGTGGTACAGGTACCTTGGGTGGATATAAAGACCCTTGATTGTGGCAAGGAAGGTGTCATGAAAGGCGGGGAGGGTTGTTTTTTTTTTTGTGGTGGGGGAGCACCCTGAGAAGGTTGGCCCAGCCTCCGCTCCTTACCTCCTTTTTGCAGAGATAAACGGCCCTAGTGATGATCTGGCAGCTGCATGTCTGAGGCTTTCCCTCTTGCTTTTGTTGTATATTTTGTAGAAAAGAGTGGTGGGAGGGGTGAGGTTAATGTGTTGAGTGTGAGTAATTAGTCATTCAAACCATCGACATTTACAATGACAGGATTTGAGTGCCTACATTATTATGCACTGTTCTAATAGTTTATCCCTGAAATTTTCTGCCTGTATAATGTTTCTTAAAATATATCACAGGAACATAAAAGATTTAATGTAGTGCTTTGTACAACCATTAGAGTTTGAAGTCAACTGAACCTTCTCAATTCTCTATCCTGGATGCTAACTGTAATTCTGTTCTTAATTGCCATTCAGAATAGGAAAGCAGGGCAAGTCAGGGGTTTGGAACCTGGTCAGCTGCAAAGTTGGCTGTGAGACCCACACAGAATGTTTCATTAAAGTACATATGCACACTTGAGTAACTGATATATTTATTTGCAATGAAAATTGTGCTGTTGGAATATCAAAGGTGTTAGCCTGAGGAAATAAGTGTTCTGATTTTGCCCAGCCAGCCTCTGTGCTTATTGGAGAATGTGCTTCCCACCAACATACATCTTTTCTACCTATGGTCTGTTTCCCAAGTAGAGAGTATAAGTGTCCTCTCTTTAAGATCTATCATGTCCCTTAAAATGCTATAGTTTCTTATTCATGCATTCAGTATCTTTACATCTTGGCAACTTCTCTTATTTTCCAGACAATGTTTTAAAATCCTTATGATTCACTCAGATGTCAGATTTTACTCTGACATATTACATTTCTGATTCTTTTTTTTTTAGCCTATGTTGCGTCCTGGGAGGCATCATTAAGACCAGTGAGGGATCTTATTACATAATATATATTAACACATTTGCAAATGTTTCTCAGCTTTCAGACTGTGCATTTTTATTGAGAAAACTCTGTGTCTGTATATGTATGTGTGTATTTGCATCAGTTCTTTCTGGATACACAAAAGGATAACTGTGTAGTATGTGTGCAGAGCAAAGAAAGCTCCATCTTCATTCAATGAGAATGACATGGCCTAATTTATAGATGTGGTTGGTTGAAGTAGCTCAGTAATGAATATTGCATCTCGTGGCTCCTTTTTGAAGGTTTGGGCCCAGCTGGGGTTATCTAATCTAAACATAGGGCTCAACTCCAGGAGTGAACATAAATTAGAAATCCACATAAGATATAAGGAGATCCACAAAGCTGATGGGGCAACTGAAATTACTTTGCTGTAGACTTGTTACTTCCTAGGCCTTTCTGGAACAGGTGGACCTGTGAGATGTTCACCTGGACAAGTGCTTGCTTTCACCATGTGTCTGTGAGGTGAGCATCCAGTGAACAAAAGATGAATCTGGCTGTCAGGTGATCTTAAACAGTTTTGGGCCCAAAGAATCTCGTTATGCTAGATACGACTTACATATTCCATCATTAGCACCAAAAACCTGCCTCAGTGCAGAATATTTTCTAGGTGTTTGTAAGGGGAGCCAAAAGAATGGTAACGTGAGAAAGGTGGAGAGCAGAGAAGAGGATCTATAGATTGAGACAGTTTTTTGGTTTTTGTTTTGGTTTGGTTTTTTTGCCATTAAATCAAAATGTAGTAGTTGGGCAGCTTTGTGGTTCTGCCAGCTGGGCCTCCTGAAATGGATAAATTCTGAATTTCAAGTTCCTTATTGAGTTGGCAGTGCTTCTTGTGTTTGTTGCCTGGACACCTAACTCAGTGAAGCAGTGAGACAACACAGCAAATAGAGGCACTGCACAGACCCAGGAGGCCCGACGCCGGTTTGGCAGAGCTGAAACCTGCCTCCCAGCCAGGAGTTGCGCTGATGCTCTGTAACATCCTCTCCATTAGCATGCCTCCCTCCCCTGGGCCCAGCTCCCTGATTCTGCTCCTGGACCCTTGCCTCAAGGACAGAGCAGCTGAATAGGCTTTGCTGTGTACGATTTCTATCCATCGCGAAGACAGCTTGATTTAAGATTCTTCTCAGAAGCTTTTCGCTTTCTCCTTGCTGTCTGGACCAGCCTTCTAGAATCCTACAGTTGACCTGAAGCCAAGAAGAAAGTTCTGGTGATGGGAGAAGTGGAGCCACTTAAGTTACTTACATGATGGTAAAGAATCTTAGACACTCCCCACCTTCTTTAATCCACTTTATCTCCCTGGCTCCTCTTGAGACTGTTTTTCTTTTGGTTTCATTTTCCATTTGTGACTATTAGAAGAGGAAACAATTAGAGTAACACTCACCTATATGGAGCATGATGAGGAATAATAGTTATGATGCCTCTAAGCACTTTGTGTTTTAGAGACTTGATATATAGGGTCTCTCATCCGGGAGATAACCCTGCATGGCAGGCTTTATCCTAGTTTTACGGAAGAGGAAACCAAGGCTCAGAGTATTGAAGTAACCTGCCTGAGATCACACAGCTAATAAGTGGTCGAAGTAGGATTTTAAGTCAGCTATTGTCTTGACTCAAAAACTCATTCCTTTTTTAATATGCTACTCTGCTTCAGATAAGAAAATAGACAAAAACAAAAAAACAATCTCCAAACATTGATGACTATCTGGAGCAAGTGGAACTTTCCTACTGTGCTAATGGGAGTATAAATTGGTACAGCCACTTTGAAAAACTGTTGGCAGTATCTACTAAACCTGAACATACATACACCCTATAACCAAAAAAATAGAACCCTAGGTCTATCCTCAAAAGAAACGGGTGCATATATGCACCAAAATACATGCACATAATGCTCATAGCAGATTATCTATAGTCACTCAAAACTAGAAGCAATCCAAATGTTCATCAACAGATAAATAAAATGTGATATTTCCATATAATGGAATTCTCGATAGTAGTGAAAAACAACCTACTGCTACTTGTAACAACACAGATTACACTCATAGTGACATGAGTAAAAAGGCACAAAAGAGTATGTATTGTATGATTCCATGATGTAAAGTTGAAAAATAGATAAAAGGAATCTATGGATTAGAATTCAGAAAAGTGGTTACCTTTGTGGGGGGAGGTAAATGAGGGGAGTGGGGACATGAGAAAGGGACAAAGGCTTCTGGGGAGCTAGTCATGTTCTATATTGTGATCTGAAAGGTGGTTACCCAGATGTGAGCTGTGTCCACTATATAAACATTCTTTGAGTTGTACCCTTAAGATGTACATGCTTTACTAACGTGTATGTTATATTCAATGAAAATATCCACAACAAATTCTCTGAGCAGCCAAATGGTAATAATATTGGAAGCTACAAGTTATCAGATATCTGCTAAGCCTTGATTTTCTCATATTTAAAATGTAGAGAATGTTAGAATATGCCTCATTGCCTTCTTGTGAGGAGACAGTGAGAGAAATCACATTAAATAATTGGCAGAGTGATTTCAATAAATGTCAATGATTGTGGTTATGTTACACCACTATTCAAGCACTTTACCTGTATGGTATCCCTGGATCCTTCTCACTGCTTTGCAAGGCAGGTGGTCTTGTTCCCATTTTTCAAATGAGGAAAACTGAGGCACCTAGAGTTTAAATCCCTCATCCAGGGTCACACAGCTAGCAAGTGACTGAGCATGATTCCATTTCCAAGGAGTTAATGATTGAATTCAGAGAAGACAGAAGCCATATCATGACAGACAAGGAGGAGATAATGATAAGATAGAATGGTAAGGTGGAACTCATGGGCTGCATTGGAGTCAGGGAACATGGGTGCAGGCCCCACTTTCTTGTGATGACAGAGAAGTCACTGAATGTCTCTGGACTTCATCTCAAACATGAGAGTATTGAACTAGATTTTACTCCCTTCTGGCTCTGCAGTTTTGTGATTCTCCATGTTTATCATCTCATACAGGGCATTTTCATGACCTGACTCCATGAGCTTAAACTCACTTCCCATCTAACACCCTATTCTAGCATCTTCTCAGCACTTTCCCTGAATCCCCCAAGCCTGTAGGCAGCAGTAATTTTTCTCTACTACATGCCCATTGCCCTACAGCAAGCCGTTTACCTGTCTATGCCCTCTATAGACTATAAGCTCATTGAGGGTAAGGATTTTTATTCATTCTTTATTCCCATGCACGTTGCCTGGAACAGTTCACACATCCAAGGAAATCTTTGTTTAACTAAATATTTAAGTCCATAGAAAATCCTGTTAGAGTAATATGTGAGAGGACAGCCTTAGGCAGTCCTGGACCTAAGGTGAAGACATAGAGAAAACCCTTCCTTCATGATTTTTGTTTTATTAGAGGTCTGGGAGATATACTTATAGAGTGGCTGGATAAAAAAAAAAAAAAAATCATTAGATGACTTTGCAGCTCCTCAGCATGTACTTATGAAATCTGAAGTTTGATCAGTGATTAAACATCGGTGAAAATCTAAACCCTTCCCATATGGAACAACCCCACTTAATTTAATGTCATTTTACTTATGAGATAGTTAATAAACAGGTACTGTATTTGATCTTGTGAGTGTAGCCCTCTATATTTAGCTTTTTCAGCTTTAATGGAACTATAATTTTAATCATGATTATTACTTTACATTTTAATTATAATTTGGTGTGGCTTAAGTATACATTTCTGAGAGTGATTGTGTAATGAAAACAGGAATTAGCTTTTCATTAACAAAATAATGGGAGAGTTCCCACTGCATTCTAGTCTGTGTTCAATATCTACAGGCTGGCCTAAAAATAGAAAGGGGAGTTTAACATTTTGGTTAAAAACATGCTTCTAAATTGGCTGTGTTCACAACCCAGTCTCTTTTGCTCCATTTTGCTTTATCTTGTTCTCTTTCTTTTCAAAAAACAAAATGAAATATAATATAATCTTAAAAGAGACTTTAATTGTGTCTGAGATTTCAAAAGGCTTCTTTTTATTATTTTTATTTTCATTTAGATAATTAGCACCATGGAGCCTCAGGTGTCAAATGGCCCAACATCCAATACAAGCAATGGACCCTCCAGCAACAACAGAAACTGTCCTTCTCCCATGCAGACAGGGGCGACCACAGATGACAGCAAAACCAACCTCATTGTCAACTATTTACCCCAGAATATGACCCAAGAGGAATTCAGGAGTCTCTTTGGGAGCATTGGTGAAATAGAATCCTGCAAACTTGTGAGAGACAAAATTACAGGTATGCTGTTCTTTAATATTCTAGACGTGGGATTTGCAGCTACATTATTCCATTATATATACAGACCTTAGCAGAAATGCACATGTATGATGGTGCATCTGAGTGTCCGCATCATGTACCCCAGGTGCAAGAGTGTGTGGATACACAGTCATAAACTCACACCACATACATGTTTATACACCGCATAAAATCATGCCATGGATTGGTACAACTGGGAAGCAGATGAAGACTTTGGTGCTTCAGCTTTATATGAAATGACCCTTTGATTTTATCCTCTTTTATTCTTAATCAGCCACCCCTTCCTTGTGTTCTGTAGTTTCCAGTTCTGCCCTCTACCCTTCCTATACTCCATGCTAGTTTTTATTCATGTACACTTCTCTTCTCAAACATTCGGTTTGTGTGTGTCCAGTGCTTTTCCATGTGTCTGAGACAAATGTTTTAAAGGGACTTGTGGACTTGTGGAAGGGTGACACCACTGCCCATTGTCCTGGGGAGAAACAGGCCCTAAGCATAGCAGATTATTCTGCAATCTTATTAGAAGTGAGAATATTTTCTTAGAAAAATACTGGGCTATATAATGATGACAGTAAAGCTGCTGCTCCCTGGTACTCCACTCCTGAAATCATTCATGCTCACTTTTGAGTACTTGTCAGTTTGGGGTGTTGACTTTTGTTTTCCTTTCTCTGGACATTTTAATTGATGAGCAACTGTCCTATAAAAGAAAAGAGGAAGCTCTATGACTAAAACAGGGAGATACATCTTCTTACTTTTAAATCAGAGAATACAGTGTGTATGTGTGCATGTAAATATATATATCTTCTATTCTCATAATTCACATGTAAATTTGTCCCCCTTATAAATTTCTTTGCCAAATCATAAAACTTAAGTAACAGTTCTGCTCTCTAAAATATAAGTCACGTAACCTTCCAAACACAATTTCCTCATCTATAAAACTGTAAAATAATACTTACCTCAAAGGGCTTATTGTGAGGATTGAATGGGAGACTGGATATAGAGCCTCTAGCACAGTGTCTATTGTATAATGGTCTCTTAATAAATAGGGGATGTTATTACTATAGATACAGCTAGTACACTTCAAGGAGAGTGGATAGAACAGAAAAATTATATCAAGCTTCCCAAATAGGGCCAGGATCATCCATCCTTCAACAGGATTGCCTATACTTTCAGAAATCTGATGTTTAGATTCCTGAATAATCTTTATATAATAGGATGATAATTCAAACCAAATTAAAACCAGTTAACCATATGATTCTTCCTCCCACTCCTGTATAGGAAAATGTATTTTTGGTATAGCGTTACCTTCTAAATAGAGACTCTGCCAGTTATATTAGTGAATATTATTAATCACCTTTTCAGGAGAGTTCCCTTAGAACTGTAGTGAGATTTTTAAGAAGTACTGATTCATGGTGTTGTTCCTTGTTTTCTAAAGACACATGTTTAAACAAGCAGATTCCTTTACTGAAAGAATGCTAATTTGGTAGTTCACCGAGTGGATTTGAATAGGAGTGACAGCTTCGAAGACAGCCTTTAATTTGGTATACAAAACCAAAATTGTCAACTTTGGTTTGTTTAGCACCCTCTCCAGCACAAGCAGAGACATACAGTAGCATCTGAGCTTGAAGAAGCTTATGGGTTGAAAGCAGAAATACAATTCAGGCATAAATTTATAATTATGCATTTTTTTAATTCAGGCAAAAAAAAAAAAGAGTTTTATTTGTAGAGAACTTATGGGAACAAGGCAGGGAAATATAGAGAGACCAGAGATATTTGCCCTCATTTGGTAGCAGTGTTTAATAAAAGTAGAACTTGTGGTTGTAAAGAGTGCTTATTAAATTCTTCATTTACACTACCTAATTAATTCTAGCATTTTAAATTAACAGTGAAACTGGTCCCTGCTGTACCATTCCATAGATGTAGCATATTTCCTCCATCCACCCGTTGTTCAGGTTTAATTGGCTATGCTAAAAGTCAGAGAAGGAGGGAGAGATAGGGCTGTGGGGAGATGGGGAAGAAGTGGGAATTGCACTAGCAATTGCACTAGCAAAAAGTCCTTCCGAGGCCTGCATTTGGGGTTAAGTCATAATGCAGGCTGGGAGAGGTGAGGTATCACACCAGGCAAGTGGAAAGGCTGCAGCGGTGGTTCAGAAGTCAGGGTAAATGACATCATAGGTATTTTTGTTGCCCTGATTTTTAACATCCCAGTCCCCCCTTTTCCTCCAACACCTCCTACAGATCTCAATGCATCTCCGAACCTGTGAAGTTTACAAGGAGTTCTAAATATCCAGTGGGAGGATTGGGGGGTGGGAGGTGACAAAGAGATAAGAATTCAAGATTAAGATTTTCCAGCCCCAACTACTCCCTAAGAGAATGTAATGGATTCCCTTAGAAGGTTCTGGCTTCTATAATGTTAAGATACCTTCAGAGAGAGAGAGAAGTGACTCCATTGACAGCATTACTGGTGTGGGCTGGATTCACCTTTGGCTGTGGGTTTTCAATGGATTCTCCATTTGAGAACACATGGAAAAAATGTGGGCATGGACTTAAGTGTTACAGTGCTGAGGACATAAATGCCACCATTTATCAAGCACTTACTCTATGCTAGGTACTTGCTAAGCACTGGACATGCCTTATTTCATTCAACACAGAGAACAGTCTCTGTTTTCTTAGATGAGGAAACTGCTTTACCTTAGCAAGGTAAAGTAACCTTCCCAGGCAGCACGGTCATTAGCATGTGTAGGAGCTGGGAGTCATCCCTGCTTTCCTAAAGTATGATTTTTATTTGGAAGCATGTACAGGGTGAAGACCTCTGCTTAAACCCCACCTCATAACCCAATGCAACATTGTGTTTCCCTGAGTAGAGGTTGCTGGCTGCCCTCTGGAGAGTCTACCTAATGCACCATGGCTTTAAAGGAGACTCCTGTGTATAAAGGGAGGCAAAGATAAAATATTTATCATCCTCTGGGGATATAACTCAGCCTGTGTCTTCCTTCAGAGTAGAGCAAAATTTACTGAAAATGCCAGGCTCGAGTTACCATTACAGTGCTTTTGGACATCTCTGTTACTTATCTTCTCAGAGACATTAGATTTTCTTTTTCCAATTGGGAAAGGACATTTATCAGGACAATCTAGGTACCAGGGAAAGAAAAACACATGTCCTGAATTGCTTTTGTGTGCAGCCGTGGGCACGTGATGGCATTGGAAGCCAAGTCCTTTGCTTTTCTCCTTCATCCACCTGCAGCCTCGGCTGCTGAAGAAAAGGGGAAGTGGCATGTGACCCACGGGATTCATGCAACCTAGAAACTCAGGCAAAGAACACCAAACCCCTGGTAGAAATTTCATTCTTCCCGTGGACTTCAAAGAATGTATATAATATCTTATTGTTTGTTTTTGTTGCCTTTTTATTTTTGTTTTTGTTTTATAAGCATTGAGATTGGCTTACTGAATCCAAATTTCTATATGATCAGTATTTTAGGGGAGGAAGCATATGGCTTGGCCAGAACAGGATTAGGTGGCTCAGAGTATATCTTGAAGCCAGCAGAACTAGAATGCTAGATTACATTTTTATAAGTGTTTATCTTGTTACCACCCCACACCAAAAGGAATAAAGGAAAAAAGTAACAAAGAAAAATCCCTAGAAAGAAAAAAATCAGTGCAAGACAGCAAACAGTCTTGATATTGGCCTATCCATATTGTGTGATTATTATCATAGTGCTAAAAAAGAATTATATTTTTACTTGATGTCAGTCTCTATGTGTCCGTGCAGTGTACTTTTTAAGAGTAACTATTTCAGGTAAGTAAGAGCTCTGAAGGGGATTTTTGAGGAGGTAAATCCTAACTGAATTTTATCGATTGCAAAACTGAATATATTGAAGAGACCAGTATATGGAACAGATTATATAAGTGCTGTGGGTGGATGGGAAAGGTAAAGTTTGTGTTAGCTGGAGCTGTTGGGGAAAGTTTAAAAGATGGGGTTGGGATTTAGGTAGAGGAAAGAGAGGCAAAGGAACAGATCTAAAATTCTAGTAAAAGAACAAAAGCATTTTTTATTCCTCTGTGCTTTGGACAAAGGAAGTAGAGCTAGAACATGCTTCTTTAGAAGCAGTGATCTAATATGAAGCAGCATTTGCCAAATTAAGTTAATCATGCCAGAAAATTAAGTTGGTTAGAGTTGCACCCTAATGGACAAAGGCAACTTTTCCTAAACGCCACCTTTAATCCATCCCTTCATTTCTTCCTTTATAACACATCTTTGTTTTAATTAATATTACCCAGTGGATAAAGCAGAACAAGGCAACAAAATAAAAGCAAAACCTTTTACTACTGTGGACATCAGGGTGCATATTTTGCTACCACTTTTGTATCTGAATTTACATTTCTAATTAAAGGAACCAACTCAGTTTTAAGGCAGTGACATCGGGTAACTTCTGTTGTTTCTCAGATTTGTGAAAGTGCTAATAATCCTGTGTCTCTCTCAGTAGGTGAAATGTGGGACATGGACCACAGCAGTGGTGACAGTATCTATTAGAGCATCCAGGCCAGGAGGCATGACAGAGTACAGTCTGTTGGGTTGAAAAGGGAGAGACAAGAGTGAGGGTTATAGAATGTTTTATGCCACCACATATACTTTTAAGGAACTGGAATTACAGGAACACTATGGGAATTTGGTTGAATTTTACTTCTGAGATAACAGTATAAGCAATAAAAGGTTCTGCAAAATCCTAAAATATGAAAGTGCTTTGACTCAGCCCTAAAGTGTGAATTCATAAGGTGAGTTTATTGGCATAATTTCTTACAATTCCCAGCAAAGACAAGTAAGAATAATAACAGCAGCTTTTGTGTGTTTTTGTGTGCCTTAATGTGTGTTCTGAGCACTGTACTAAATTCCTTAGAGTGGCTCCTTTAAATAATAAATTAGGATTTCCTGGAGAATCATAATTGTCAATGGTTCTTGAGCACTTACTGTATGCTAAGCATTGTGC